TGACCCCATCAGATTCCATCTCTCGGGAGAGGGCTGCACCAGAGACCGGGCCAGGGGCCGGGGGCTCCAGGCTGGACGGCCACGGGCCGGGGGAGGGGTTGAACGGCCCCGGACGGGCCGGGCGTCCGTGCAGCGGGGCCAGCTGTGCGTGGGGGTGGCGGGAGCAGAGAATGCGAGGACGAGAGAGATGTGGGTGCCTCCATTCCCCACCCCTGGGTGTTGCCCCCAGCAGGCTGAGGTGTTCGTGGTGCCCTTCGGTTCCTTGCATTTTCTCCAGTAACATCTCCTAAACTTTTTCCTTATCCAGCTTGAAAGGATCGCATGTTACTTCCCAGTGGTCTTTGTGGTACGCCTAGTACTGAGCTGGCTTGGTCCGCCACGTCCTCGTGTCCTTGGTTCTTGTGCCCAGTCACACGCTGAGCGCCGCTGTGTCTGCCCTGTGCTAGGCCCCGGTCACGAGACAGACGCGGCCCCCTTGCTCAGCCCCCAGAGGGCAGGCAAAAGGGAATTTCCTGACATTCCCCATCGCCCCAGACATTCCTCTGGCTTCTCTTTTCCTTCTGGAAACATCTGCTATCTGTGCAGCTCTGGAAACATCCCAGGTGCCTCCGCACACTGCTGGTGTGACCCCGGGACCTCCCTGCAGGTGGGAGGGCGGTGACTCAGGCCCTGAGGAAGGTCTACCTCGGCTCACTGAGCAGGCGGTAAACTGAGGCATATGGCAGGCCATCGGGATTGAGACCCGGGGAGCGTGCCTGGGCCCGGGCAGTGGGCCGAGGGGGGGGCGTAGGAACCCCCAAAGAGAAGGGAATGCTGGCGAGAGGTGGGAGGTGACAACCGTGGGCGCCCGGGGACAGGAAGGCCGGGACTTCCGCCCGGTTCAGGTGAGCGAGTAGTGCCAGAGGGAGACACGGCGCTTGTCCGGAAACAAGCCGTAGCGGCGGAGACGTGGAGGGGCTGAGGGTTCTTCGAGCATCCACGGGATCTGGACGAATCCCGAGAGCCCCCCGCCCCCTGCCAGCTGCGTGGGGCGTGAGCAGCCCGTGGCTGGGAGCTGGGTTTCAGAGGCGCCTCAGACGTCAGAAAAATTAATATTGTGTGTGTTAGAAAAACCCCTGAGTGCATCCAGCCTGCAGTTTCACAGACATCAACGCCCGGGATGAAAATAGGGACCTGAACGGAAGCCCATCTGTGGGAAGCACTAACGGCACGGCGGCACACGGCCGCGGGGAGAGGGGCATACGCGGCAAGTCCACAGTCGACCTTGAAGTCACCTTCTGGACGAGCCGGCCAGCAGGGCTCTGCTGTCTTCCCAACGGAGGCCGCCTTCCTGCCCTGCGAGCCAGGGCTCCCTTGGGCCGGGCGGGGGGGGGGTGCGGCAGGGACGCCTTGTCGCAGCCCAGCAGGGGTTTTGACGGCCCATGGGGCCACTCAGCCTCCTGAAACTGAGCCTCGGCCAGTCTCAAAATCTCCAGGACCCGAGTGCGGGGCGGGGGGAGGGGAGCGTGTTCGCCGTCATCCAGCCCCCAGAGGACGAAGGCCCCTGCTCTCCGAGGTGTCTGCCTCATGCGTGTTCCTGCCACCTCTCTGACACTCGTGTTCGTGGATCCATGTGCTTTCGATGATAAACAACCCCAGCCTTGCAGGGGGTCTGCAGGGCACATTCAGGGATGGCTATAGCAGCTGTTTGAGGCTGCCCCCGTGGAGGAAAGTATCCAGGAGGCAGCTGGGGGCTTCCTCAGGGGGGCTGCCCACCCCGCAGGCCACAGCGGCACTGGGCAATCTCCCCCCAGGGCCTGGATCTCCGCCCCTTTCCGATCCTTTCTGCTTCCGGCAGTTTCCACCCCACACCCCCCTGGGAATTCTCCTTCAGCCCCTGCTGACCGGGCTCTGGCCGTGGCATTGAGCTTAGACCAGCCCCGGGGCTCCTGCCCGTGGCCCCGCCTGCTGCCAGGCCCCCTCGCCCTCTGCCCCTCCGTGCTCTGCCTTCCGGGGCACTGCTGGTTCCCGGGGGCCTGGAAGCCCTTCCCCGCACAGCCCACGCCCTGAGGTCCACAGAGCCTTCCGTTCATTCACGGACCCCTTTCTCTCGCCAGCATCTGGCTACGACGCTGCCGGCCTCGGAGACAGAGGAGGAGGCCGCGAGGCTAGGAGTGTGGGCCGTGCCGGCCCCTGGCAGCCGAAGAAAGCAGAGAGACGTTCTCCCCGGAGCCTCCGGCAGGAACGCAGTCCTGCCCACACGTGGGCTGTGGCCCAGCAAGACACCCACGGCGTCGTGTGCCTCCTGGAACCGGAAGGCAATCGTCGGCATGGTTTTAAGCCTCTCGGGGCCGGTCCTTCGTCTCGGCAGCCGCGGGAAGCTAGAGCACTCCTCCCCAGACGGAGCCCGAGACCTGTGAGGTCGGCCCACCGCCGGTCTCCTCGAACTGTTCCCACACCAGCGTTCAGAGAAAATCGGAAGCAGCATCTACGCTGGCCAGGAAGCCACGCCTTCCCTTACTCACTGGAGGCCAGGCGTGATTCCAGGGCCCCTGCGCCGGCACCCCGAGGGAACCCTGGGGTGCGCAGTCCCCCCTGCGGACGGCGGGCCGGAGGGCCCCATCGGGAGGAGGCGCTCTCAGGGGGCCCCCTCAGGGTGCTGGGGGCAGGTGGGGTGCGCTCTCCAAAGCACCCCAGTTCTCCGTGTATCTGAGAGCCCTCTGCACACGTGCCGTTCAGTCTCACCGTCCACTTCTCCGTGGAAAAGGAGGGTCCCGTTCCTCTCCCCGGGACTGTCGCGATAACGAGAGCTTCAGGGGTGGGCGCCGAGGGCCTGCCACCCTTCACCTCGTCGGATTTCAGCGCGGTCCTGCATGATTGCCACAGTCCTGTCCCATCCCCCCCCCCATTGTTACAGAGGGGGGCCTGGAGGTTCAGAGAGGCCGACTGCCTCGGCCAAGGCCACGCAGCAGCAGGTGGGAGCGGCAGCCTGGTGGGCAGAGCGGTGGGCGCGAGCTTGCCCAGCTATGGCTGTCCGCCCTTCATTCCGGACATCCGACCTACAGCCGGCAGCCTCTCCCGCGGACACAGCGTGAGAAGGTGGGAGAGGTTTGGGGAGCAGTAAGAGTCGACAGAGGCCCAGCCTGGGGCTGGGCAGCGACAGGAGGGCCACCGGAGCCACCGGAGCCTGTGCCCGTCCCTTTATTCCGGCAATTTCCGTGGTATCTCTCCAGTGAACGAATCTGCGATCAGGAATCATACTGCTCCAAACAGAGCCCGGCGGGTCTGTTTATCCTCGACTGCACACCAAGACGGCTTCATTCTGACCCCGAGCTAGAATCGCTCCATGTCTTAACCTCGCCTTGAAACCCAAGTTAGCCGACCGCAAGTGACTCTGATCTTGACTCTGAACTGGTTCCAAAAAGGCCAGAAAGCTGTGCAAAGAAAGTTCCAGATAACCATTCTGATATCCCAGGCACCAAAAAAAAAAAATGTCTATGTGCCAGATGCCTTTAAAAAAATTTTTTTTTTTTGCCCTGGCTGGCGTAGCTCAGTGGATGGAGCGCGGGCTGCGAACCAAAGCATCACAGGTTCGATTCCCAGTCAGGGCACATGCCTGGGTTGCAGGCCACAGCCCCCAGCAACCGCACATTGATGTCTCTCTCTCTCTCTCTCTCTCTCTCTCTCTCTCTCCCTCCCTTCCCTCTCTAAAAATAAATAAATAATTTTAAAAAAATAAAAAAATTTTAATTGATTTAAGAAAGAAGGAGGGGGAGAGAAACATCGGTTTTGTTCTTTTATACATGTATCCACTCATTTATACATTCATGGGTTGGTTCTTGATGTGCCCTGACTGGAGATCGAACCCACGACCTTGGCCTATCAGGCTGGCGCTCTAACCCGCTGAGCTACCAAGAACCTTAACGTCACTTTCCAATTCAAAGATAATCCCCAAAAAAGTACTCCATAAGAAAGAAGTCTTTCCCTCAGCATTTAAGAATCGGAGCCGGGCATCCAGGACCACTGTCAACCGAGGCGAAGAGTGCGGCCAACAGGCTCCTCCTCCGGGCACGTCCTATAGGCCCAGAGGCGGAGCTCCGCCCCCTGGGCGGGGCCAGGGAAAGGAGACCAGAAAGAAAATTCCTTCGATGCCTAAGCCGAATAGAGGTGACCCTTAGGCTCAGAGAGGGACCCCCTGGCTCTGTACCCCCTGGCTCACCCGGCAAAAGGCCTCTCAGTCCTAGGGCCCCACACTTGTTTTTGGACGAGGAGGGTGTTCTGGGCCCCCTGGCAGCGGAACCGCCTGTAGCCTGGCCTCTGGCTTCTGGCTGTCCCCTCTGTGCCCCTAGCGCCCCTTCAAAGCCTGGCCTGCCAAGGTGCTCAGCAATGATTCAATGAAGGAATTTTTACCATTTTAGGGCGGTGCTGGGGGTAACCTCAGAAGATCAGAGCTGACCCTTTTGGGGGGAGGCACTGGGCTCACGAAGAGGGGAAAGACCCCTCCTGGGAGATGGGGTGTCTGATCTGGGGCTGGCGGGCTCAGTGAGTGGCTCACCGGCTGTTGAGACACTCAGTGGCTCCAGGGCCCGGTGGAGCCAGCAGGCGGACGGCAGATTTGGTCTCCTCCCCCGAGTCTCCGGGCTGGTCTGTCCCCGGGGCAGGTGTCCTAGGCTACCCGGCCTGGGCCAGAGGGGTCCTCCACAGGCAAACAGTGGTTCCCCTCCATCTCTGGCCCCTGGGGTCCCCCTGCCTCTCCTGTGGGGACCCCCTTCAAGGGTGAGGTTTTCAAGACAGTTTGGACTCCGGGAAGGGGTCAAGCGGTTATTGTTGGCTGTCATGGACTGGACTGGTGTCCCGTCCACCTGGGTTTAGACACCCCCAGGGACCTGGGTGTCTGCTGCTCAGTCTAAACGGTGCCAAGGGTGGCAGGAGGTGCGGCCGCCGTGAAAAGGAAAGGGAAACTCTGGGCGGAGAAGTGGAGAGGGACACGCGGAGGGGAGGACAGAGGTGTGACAGGGCGTGATCGGCGGGTCCACACCGACGGTCTTCCTGCAGTAGCACCAGCATTTTCCCAAAGGCCAGGAACGTGTCGTCACTGTCAGGACGCCGCACAGCTGGCCGGGGAATGGAGCCGTGCATCCAGTTCTGTTCAGCCAGTGACCGTGAGCACCCCAAACTTCAAACCACGACAAATGAGAACCCACCCCCACCCCATCCAAGTCAGAGGTGTCCACAGACAGCTGAGTCACACCTTGCTTTGGCCTGATGCCAGCCAGGTGCGCCAGTCCAGAAGGTCCAGAGGGGTGGGGCCCTCTGTCCCCTTGAGGAGGGACCTTGAGCAGCAGGGGGCAATGTAGAGGGGAGGCCCTGCAGGGGACTGTTCCTTCGCTGCCCTGGCTTCCCTTCCCCCAGGTGCCCTCCCTGCCCCTGAGATTGGAGCCTCGGGCTCAGAGTAATCACGGTGTGCCTGACACCCCACAGTCTGCTTACAGAGCGTCTGTTATCAGGGCTGGAGCTGGGCTGTGGCTTGTGCTCCTAGAAGGGCCACACCCTTGGTTTAAGGTGCCGCTGCCGCCATTCTGAATAATTTTCCAGTTCTGCATTCTCGAAATTTGTAATGACTTTTGAATAAGGGGCCCCACATATACCCTGTGCACAGTCCCCTGCAGGGCCTCCCCTCTACATTGCCCCTTGCTGCTCAAGGTCCCTCCTCAAGAGGAGAGAGGGCCCCACCCCTCTGGACCTTCTGGACAAATTCTTTTTGCCAGTCCTGTGTTTTTAAGATTTTACTTATTTATTTTTAGACAAAGGAGAAGGGAAGGAGAAAGAGGGAGAGACACATCAATGTGTGGTTGCCTCTCATGCGCCCCCTACTGGGGACCTGGCCCGCAACCCAGGCATGTGCCCTGACTGGGAATTGAACCTGTGCACACCAGCCAGGGCACCAGTCCTGCTTATTATCCCACCTGGCCCCGTAGCCACCCCAGGAGAGGCGCCCAGAAGGAAACGTCAGCCCAGTTCAAAACCAGTCAGCCTGAGTCCTGGCCGGAAGCGTGGTGCCGGAGCCGAGACTGGCCTGCCTTTGGGGAGCAAATTCTGGGCTGCTCTTTGGAGCCGCCTCTCCCAGGGCAGGTCGGCGGTGGTCTCCTGACCTTCACACACCTGCCTGGGCTCCTTCCCATCCTGCCCCGGCTGCAACCTCCATGCCATCTCTTGCTTCATCTCACTGAATAAAAAAATACCAACACTCTTTGCTCACCTGCAAGCGAGGAGCTCCTGGACTCCAGCCTCCTGGGTGGCTCTCCCTCTCCTGTCCTCTGTCCTCAGAGGCCTCAGAGCAGGTTGGCCTGGCCCCAGCAAGGTCCGCACGGCCTCCGGCAGCCCACAGGCACACGTTTTGTCCTTGCTGAAAAAGGGATCCCTGGGAGGCATTCCTGACCTTCAGACCTGCCTCAGCCTCGGGCTGGCCTCATGCCCGTGACAATCACTTCCTGGCTGGGTGTTTACCTTCCTGGGCCCCATGGGTCCAGAGAGGGTGGCAGCCACATACCTGACCCAGCAGCTGCGTGGGAGGGAAGGTGCCACCCACGCTGAGGGCTGGCAACACCTGGAACTGGTCCCTGGTGCATGGCGGCCCTGATGGTCCCTCACACCCCTAATCCCCCGCCCTTGGCCTTGGCCGGGGCGATACAGCTCTTGAATCTGAGGCTTGGGGAAGGGCTCGGGGTCTTCCAGGGGTCCGTTCACTTCCTGCACGTGGCTCAGCTTGATCACTTCCGGAAATGGGGCACTTGCTGCTTTGGGAGGGAACCTGCTCCATTATTATTATTTATTATTGTTGTTGTTGTTATTTTCTAATGGCTGCCTTCTATTCAATGACAGGTCCTGGGCTCAGTATTTCACATGGTCACTTCGTGTAACCCTTGTGTGGCTTCCAGGAGCAGAGAATTATGCTCCCCGTGGAGATGCAGAGACAGGGCTCAGAGGTTGGCCGACTTGCCGAAGCCACACAGCTAGGAAGCCGGGGACCCAGGATGCAATCTCAGGCCGCTGGTTCCAAGATCTGGGCTCTTAACCACTGCCGTCATTTGCCCCGTTTCATCGCCGGAGTGTCCGTTTTTATGTTAAACGCAAACCAGCCACTGTATTAGCTACGGATTGAGGGCAGCAAAGCAACACAAAACTCAGGGACTTCAAACAACACACGTTTGTTTCCCACAGTCCCTGGGACCAGGAGGCCGGCCCCGCTCAGATGGGGCCCTGCCCGGGGTCCCTCACAGGCCGCGGCGAACGTGCCCGGGGCCTGGGTTGCGTCTCAAAGCTCCTCAGGGGAAGGACCTCCTTCCACATGCACGGGGTCGTTGGCGACACTCCGCTCTGTGTGAGCTGTTAGACTGAGGGCCCCGGCTGCTCGCCGGCCTGAGGCCACCACAGAGGCAGCCCGTCACCAACGTGTGCCGCAGAGACAGAGTCCGGGAAGGTGGGCATCACCGTCTTTTGTAACATCCTATCACTTTGCTGCATTCTGCTCGTGAGGAGGAAGTCCGCAGGTACAGCCAACACGCAGAGGTAGGGGATCACACAAAGGTGCAACTACCAGGAGGGAGGGTTGCCGAGGGCCGTCTTTGAAAGCTGTCCGTCACAGCCACCCAACTGCCATACAACAGTGGTTTCAGTTTTGCCTCTGAAAGCCAGACAGAAGTAGTCTCTTACCCATCCATCTACCCTCCATCCATTCACTCACCCACCCACCCACCTACCCACCTACCTATCTTTCCATCTATCCATCCTTCCATCCATCCATCCATCCTTCCATCCATCCATCCATCCATCCACCCATCCATCCACCTACCCACCCACCTACCTACCCTCCCATCCATCTATCCTTCCATCCATCCTTCCTTCCATCCATCCATCCATCCATCTGTGGCCCACCCATCTTTCCATCCACTCACCTACCCACCCACCTACCTACCCTCCCATCCATCTATCCTTCCATCCATCCATCCTTCAATCCATCCATCCATCCATCTGTGGCCCACCCATCTTTCCATCCACCCAAGTACCCACCCACCTACCTACCTATCCATCCATCACTCCACCCACCCATCCTTCCATCCATCCATCCACCCCTGTTAACAGACATTTGAACAGGAAACTCTAAGCCAGACCCCGTGTTAGGCTCAGAAGATACCAGGGTGATGCAGTTATTCACTCCCCCCTCGCTGTACCCCCCCCCCCGGAGGCTCCCAGCTGAGCCTGCACACACAGGGGTTTGGGGGGCGGTGCCCAGCGGATGCTCTGTGCTCCAGGAGCATCAGTCCTCTGGCGACTGGCCCTCCTAGGCCACACCCTTGAGATTCCTTCCCTTCCTACTCACTCTTCTTTCTTTGTCTTGCTCAGTTTAAAAAAAAAAACGACCTATTTTAAGCACCTCCTAAGTGCAACGAGTGAGGGTAGCTGGTGTGGGCATGCACATGTGTGTGTGTGTGTGTGTGTGTGTGTGCGCGCGTGCGCATGCGTGCATGTTAGGTCACATCTGGTTCTCTTGGCTGACTCTCCTCCTTTCTCACCAGTGATTTTCCTGCCTTCCCTTAGCTCCTGAGGGGAGCAGGGCCCCACAGCTTTCTGGAGACCCCTCTCCTGCCGCGTGCGCACGGGGGCCCAGCTCTGAGCTGCGCCTGTGGTTCCCCGCTCCCCGGCCTCGCCTGCCTGCGGACCCCACCTCCTGACCCCACCTCCTGACCCCGCTGAGGTCCAGGGCCGGGTGAGTGAGCTCTGGGAAGAGGGTGACAGGGCCTGCGGGGTTTGCCTCCTGAGGTGCACGGACGGATGCCTCTGGGAGCTGGAACTGTATGTCTTCACATGGGAGACCATCCATTTCACACCTCGGTGGGGCGCCTGGCAGGTGTGGGTAGTGTGCTCGGCCCTGGGGGCACCACTGGGGCCACCGCTAACGTGAATCTCGTTTCGTCCTGCCTCCTCCACGCCCTCTCAGCTCCCGAGCCGGCCCAGTCAGCCCTGACCCAGGCCGCTGCAATGTTCTGTCCCGGCCCCCTGGGTTCTCTCTCTGCCGGCTGCTCCCAGTCCTCCCACCCCGTCCCACCCCGTCCCACGCCGTCCCACGCCGTCCGCCACGCGACTGTGCTGGCACAGCCCTGAGCTTGTCAGTTCCTTCTCGAGAACATTTTACATAACCCATGTTCACAGTTTCGTGAGCATCCTAGAAATGTTCTCGCTACATAATCTCTCTCTCACACACGCACACGCACGCACACACTCACATCTGTGCTTTATTTAGGCCGGACCACAACGTATAGGTTCTCCTCTGTCTCCATTGCCTTGGCAGTTTTCCAACGCAGCACCCCTTAAGTACTCTACTCTTGTGCCTGACCATCTATCGTTCCGCTATAGGAATATTCTGGGGTGATCCTGACGGCCAAGGGCTGAATGTTCGTGTCCCCTCAAAATCGATATGTTGAAACCGAACTCCCAAGGTGACGGCGTTAGGAGGCGGGGCCTGTGGCAGGTGCTCAGGGGCGCCTGAGGAGGGAGCCCTCCTGGAGGGGCGGTTAGTGCCCCTCTAAGGGAGAGCCTGGGGAGCTCCCTTGCCCCTTCCGCTGGAGGGAGGAAGGCCGGCTCTGACCCAGGGAGTGGGCTGTCCCCACAAACAGAGTCTGCCTGTGCCTTGATCTTGGACTTCCCAGTCTCCCGAACTGTGAGAAACTAATTTCTGTTGTTTAGAAGTCCCCCAGTCTGTGGCACTTGGTGGTGGCAGCTTAAGTGGCTAAGACGGGAGAAACCCTTCTCAAGACCTGAGATGCTCTTGACCAGAAGCTTTTGAGAAGTTTGCTGGGTGATAACTTTTGACAGATCATTAGTGGACTTAATAACGATACGCCCATTATTTTAAGGAGATGATTACAATTGTGCGTTGATGAGAATTGAACATTCAGGTGTCGTAAGTTTAATTCATCATAAGAGAATTTTTTTTGAAAGATTATCTCCTAACTTCCTGTGTAAAGTTTGCTGTTGGGACCAGGGAGAGGAGAGAAATCTAAATGTTTGAAATGTTTTAAAATTGTGTTGTTATTCTAAAAACACATTTGAAATACGTAGAGGCACGGGACTGGGCGTGGTCAGGAAGAAGCACGGAGCAGAAGCGGGAATCATGGCCACAACATCCGTCGGCGCCCACCCTGGGGTCCGGCTCTGCCCTACGCACTTCGCGGGAACTGACTTGCTCAGTCTCCCCTGCAGTCTTCCAATGCGGAAGCCAGGCGAGCAGAGGGTCAATGGCTTGCCCAAAGTCACAAGAAATGTCCTGAGCACACAGAAATGCTGAATATAAGTATGGATCTATCGCATATATGCATACCATATGTGTGTCATGTGACTCCATATTTGATTTCCAGGGCAAGAAGGTGAAGTCTCTAGGTGCCATAAATGGACAGGCAGTTCTCAGGTAATTAACTATCTACCCTGGTGAGCGGGTGCTTTCGGGACTCTCACACACATGGCCGGGCGTGTCCATAAGCTGGCAGTTATGGGAGAGGGGGAATCACAGCCTTTGGGCTTGAATGCAGCAGGAATTGGGAGAGAAGTTACAGCTCATGAGTTAAAGAACGCCCTGGGCCACGAGCAGAAATCGAATCACCTACAAGAAAACGGAGAACAAACCGGGCTTGCACGTGGGGCTTACACTTTCACCACTCACAAAGTACAGAAACTGTAAGACAGAAACCGAGAGAGACCGCTGAGGAAGTGTGAGTCCAGGAGACTCAGGGCGAGACAGCTCTGGGGAGGGTCCATGATCTGGGGCACGGGTGGGACCCCCAGGGGAGCACCCCCACCGCCATACCCGAGAGACGGTTCCCCTGGAGGGTGAGCTCGCACACGGCAACTATAAAACACTCGAGGAAGACCAATATGAAGAATATAAGAGAATGTGAATCATTAAGGTGTAAAGGACCCGCGGACAAAGACAGTGGGGAGGGGGAGGAACTGCATGTGGGAGGTCGGGGGTGGGCAGGGCAGGGCAGAGTAGTGGGAGAAAATGGGGACAAGTGCAATTGAACAACAATAAAATAAACACAAAAATAAAAACATTGAAAAACAGTATTATAATACGCTATGACGCACTTGAGGAAGTCCAATACGAACAAAGCCTCCCACAAACAGGGAGTTCACAGACGAGGAAAGAGAAACAATAGAATGATATGAAAAGACTAAAACAATAAGTATGTTTAAGGTGCTTGAAGAGATGAGTGAGTAAAATCTGTAAAATGAAAATAGAGAATCATTTTTAACATTTTTAAGACTTTAATTTTTTAGAGCAGTCTCAGGCTCACGGCCAAACGCAGGGGAAGGGACAGGGACTCCCCGTGCACCACGTGTTGCTGCGTCTGACGTGCACCCCTGGTTCTGTGCACATCCCACGCGGGATTTATTCTGCCCATGGCGTGTAATCATTACACCCGTGCATGCTGTGCATCCTCACTTGTCCCTCAAAAATTTGGGCAAAAGTGAGCATTATACACAGCAAAATACGGTACTCCCTGCCCCCGCACGTGCCCAGCCTCCCCTGTCCCCAGCCTCCCCACCACAGCGGAGCAGTTGTTATAACTGAGGGGCCTTCCCCGGCCACCCCCATCGCCCACGTCCCTCGTTCCCAGGAGGGCTCCCTCGGTGCTGTGTGTTTGGACACACGTACAACGACATGCCCCTTAGGGTGGCATACGAAGGGTGTTTTCACTGCCCTGAAAACTGTCTGTGCTTCTCCCGCTCAGCCCCGCCCCCAGTCCCTGGAAATCGCTGACCTTTGGGTCTCCACGGGCCTGCCTTCTCCAGAGTGTCACCGGGCGGGAGCCGCACGCACGCACGCACGGCGTGCGGCCTCATCGGACGCGCTTCTCCCACCGAGCCGTGTTCACTGAAGGTTCCCGTGGCCTCCCAGCTCATCGCTTTGTCATGCCGAGGAAATGAGTTTATTCGGAAGGAAACGCAAAGAAGGACTAAGTAGAAATGGTGGAAATAAAAAGCATCGCATTTAGAAACACTCGTGGCTAGACACAACTCCGGATTCGGTGATTGGGAAGGTGTGTCTGGGAGCATGACCCCGAATGCAGCACCAGCCAGCAAAGAGATGGAAAACGTGGGAAATTAGTCAAAAGACATCTGGAGAACAAAGCAAGAACACCAGACACACGTTTCAGAGGCTACCCCGAAGGAGAGGGGGGAGGGGAGGCGGCGTACGAGCATTAACGACGGAGACGCTTTCACAGTCGGAGAGCCATGCGCTCTGAGCTGGGAAAGCGTGTGGAGTCCCGGACGCGCTAAATAAAGTGAATTCCCATCTGGGTGACCCAGGGAGTGGGATCACAGAGCATCAAAGGTAAGGAAGAGCCCTCAAAGCCGCCAGAGATTCCAAAAGCAGTGGAGACCCCAGCCAGGCACGGCCCGCCCCCTTGCTTCCTCACACTGGAACTGAGGGCCCACTGTGCGCGCGGGCCTGTGCCCCCTGCGGAAATGTTCTAGCTCTGTTTCCGTAAATTTCACCTTTCTTCCTGCTCTAGCCCAGGTCATACCCCTTCCTCCAGGGAGTCTTCCTGACTACCCCTGTTCTCAACGCTTCTCCTTGCTCTTCATCACTGTCCCCATCACAGTCCGCCCCCCACCTCTGGGTGCCCACCTTCGCTGGGTTCTGTCCCTTGAGTGTTCGTCCTTGTTCCCCACGTAAACAGTGAGCCCTGGGGGCCCTGGGGCCTTGTCCACGATCTTTCTCTTCTCCCCAGGTGAGTGTGGTGTTGGCTGGCTACGCACACATGTACAGTGAAGATTCTGGAACTCTTAGTCAATCGATCCTTTGGAGTCAAACAGGAGTTAGGTTCTCACACTGAGTGAAGCCCATTTTTACAAGCTCTTTGGGCCCCTCTGAAAGCATATTTCCACCCGATGGTCCGGCCAGGGTAGAGTTAATAAACACTCTTAAGCAGAGTTTTAAAGCCTGTCATTATATTACTTATGGTCGTTTTAAAAATAACCCCCTTTTAAACTAATAATCAGATCATCTGTGCCTGGAAGAGTACAGGAAGCAAAGAAGCATCGTTTGTAACCCCACCGGTTAAAATGGATGATGCTACTTACTTATTCATTCTCTGTTCACTAGATATTTGCTAGATACCTCTTTTGTTCCAGGCACCATGCTGTTTTGGGAGTGCAGTAATACACGTTTCGATATACGTTTTGCTTATTTTTCATAGAGGTTTTTTAGTATATAATACACAAATTTATAGAAGTGCTACCGTAGCTGATACGCCGTCGAGTGCCCTACTTTTACATTGCGGTTCCCACGGTCCCCGCATTTTCGCACGCATTATCTTTAACACACGCTTTTAATTCACCAGCTGCCTAGCATTCACTTTATGGACGAGTTGTGATTTCTTTAATGAGCCACCAACTGCACGTACCTCACTTTTGAAACCCCCTTTCTGGGCCCAGGGAATCTGGGCGGGGGGCGGGGGGGGGGCAACGGAATGTAACCGCGTCAACTTCAAGGCCATTCCTGGAGCTCCCGCGGGGGTGGGGGGTGGGGAGTGGGGCTGAGCGTCAGCGCTGGGGTCTGGGCTCACCGGGGCGTTCACACGGGCGGGCCTTTGGGCGGGGCTCTCACACGTAATTCCACGGCCAGCCCGTGACCGTGAGAAGGCTAGACCAGCGCGGGAACAAGGGGACCCGGAACGGGCCTTGAAGGCATCGCGCTGACCTCCCAGGAAAGAGGCCCGAGCTGTTGCTGCTCCAGGCTCCACCCACAGGGACCGTCCAGAGCTGAAGACACTGGGAAGGAACCGCGTCCAGCGGAGGGAAGGGGACTAGGTGAGGGGGAGCCTCCCTCATCCGTCCATTCTTGGCTAAGAAGCGCCCTTTGAACTGAATGGACTGCCTTCGGATTTTCCCAGCTCCTGCGGCCCCCCCCCGCCCACCCTGGCGGTGGACCGGGGTGAGGTGGGCGATCGTACTTTCTGACTGTGTGCCAGCCACGGGCTCTCCTCCTGGGGCTGAGCTCGGGCCGTGGTGGGTCTGGTTAGGCACGCTGTGGGGGGGCCCAGAAGCAAAGGGCTTGTTGCCACGTCGGTCTACGTGCTGGTGCTGGGTGAGGGGTTTACACGGGCCATGTGAATGCCCACCCGGTGCGGCGGCCCGGCCAGCAAAGGCAGCCCCGCCCCTCCATTCGCTCAGCCGATCCGGCTGAGTGATGTGGGTGTGGGTGGAGCACCAATGACGTACCCAAGACCCTGTGGGCGCTGTGTTGTAGTGGCGGGCGAGTCATGCCGTCTGTTCCCAGGCAGCTTAGTGTCTCTCAGAGAAGGAAACTGAGGTCACGAGAGAGCAGGAAAGCTGCCCTGCTCACCCAGCTGGCCCGGGCAGAGCCAGAGAGAAGCTGCGGCCTGGGCAGCCCCAGCCCCCGCTGCACCCGCAGACCCTCCCAGGTCCTGGAAGTTGGAGGTCCCTGACGCGCACGCGCTTGGCCCGCCGCCTCCCTCCGGGCGGCAAGCGGGACTCGGGCGGCCTGCGGCTCGCGCTGACTCAGCATGACTGCGTACAGGGTTGCTTGCCGGCGCGTGAGAGGCTGCGACCCAACTGGGCCAGGGCTGGGCCTGTGCGCTGACATCACCCTGGCACAGGGCGGCCGTCGAGTGGGCGGCAGAAGTCGGGGCCTCCCTCAGGTGTTTATAGGCCCAGACTTGGTGGGGGAGGCTGTGAGACTCGGGGTGAAACCAGGGGAGCTTGGGAGCTGCCCTGTCCTTCTAGAAGCTGGGTTCCTGCTGCCTGGACTCACACACACTGATTTCCGAGCCAGGCCCCAGGATCTGACCCAGAACCCTCTCTCCCTGAGGTCCAGCTTCCCTGGGAATCCACCTACCTGTCCCCTTGTTGATACAAACAGGAGTTCTTCTGTACCAGGTAATTACGGGGTGATGGTGCCATACTTGGGGATGCCTCGGATGGTGGCAGTTTTTTTTAAAGATTTTATTTATTTATTTTTAGAGAGGGAAGAGAGAGAGAGAGAGAGAGAGAGAGAGAGAGAGAGAGAAACATCAATGTGCGGTTGCTGGGGGCCATGGCCTGCAACCCAGGCATGTGCCCTGACTGGGAATCAAACCTGCTACACTTTGGTTCGCCGCCCACACTCAATCCACTGAGCTACGCCAGCCAGGGTGGATGGTGGCAGTTTTTAAGTGTGCCAGCTTATAGCCCCTCATCCCCTGAGATGTCTGTCACCCACTTTTTGGGGGAGTGTCCAGAGGACACGTTGGATGGGAAATGTGGGATGATGGAGGCTCAGATCAGCCAGTTCAAGAAAACGCCTGACTTTACCCTCGTGTTATTGTCAGTCTGACGACCTTCCAGAAGGATGCTCAGCGGTCCTGGCCTGGCCTGGGAGTGGCGACAGCCCCTCTCGCCTGGGGTGGGAATCCCCACGGAGCCCTGGGCCCAAGCGGAGTTGTTCGGGTGCTTGTTTGTGTTTTTTAATTTTTATTTATTGATTTGAGTGAGAGAGAAAGAAAGAAAGAAAGATCAAATTGTTCCACTTACTTATGCATTCACTGGTTGCTTCTCGTTTCTGCCCTGACCAGGGCTCCAACCCACAGCCTTGGCGTGTCGGGAAGGCGCTCTCACCCGCTGAGCTGCCCGCCAGGGCCCCAGCCGAGTCGCTGAGCCTGGTGGGGTTGCGGTTTCCTTGGGGGAGAGAGGCTGCCCCACGCGCTTGCTTTGCTGGAGCTGCGGCAGGCCACACGCAGGCTCCGTCGGCTCTTCGGAGAGACGGGGTTACTTCAACATGGCAGCCCACAGGCCAGCCTCCCACCCAACACCGGCCCTGAGGACAAGGGCCGTTCCCCCGGGAAGCGCTGCAGCGTGCGCCTCTGTCTCGCTCCCCAGAAGCCTCGGCTCTCACTTACCGCCGAGGGCTCCGGGCAGGCAGGCAGGCCCAGGGCTCGCGGGCTTACCTGTCTCCCCGCCCACGGAGCGTGCTCAACACAGACTTGTGAGTTGGCAGGGACTTGTGAGTTGGCAGGGCCCTCCTGAAGGAAGCGAGGGGATGCCAGCAGCCACGGTGCCCCCAGGAGGAGAGACAAGGCGGCCAGGGCTCCTCCACCGCTGGTCTTGGGTTAGGAGCTTTCAGCCGTCAGAGTCCCAACTGGGGGTCTGTGGCGGCAGGAGTGGCCAATGGTTAGGGGCGTCTGTCCTGAACTAAGGCAGATCCAGGCCCAAATCTTCCCACCTTCCCCGACTCCAGGAAGCCACCGCCACCTCCGTGAGTCACTTCTCGGCTTCCCCACCCGAGCCGGGAGTGCGAGGGCAGGCCTCGCAGGCCGTGTGGGGAGCAGTGAGCTTCCAGTGCAAGATGCTTCATCCCGGGTGTGGAGCCCATGAGGCTACCAGCCACGGTGGCCACTGGTGGGGCGGTCTGAAATGGCCACTGTTCAACCGCTTTTGACTTGGAAAAGGGCAGTGTCTCAGGGTGAAGGCTGGCCTTGTTGTCTCTCCGATCGCCTGTCTGCTGAGGCCCTGCCCAGCCTCCCCCGGGGGTCAGGTCCTCAGGGTCACCTCCTCCAGCCCCCTTCCTGCCAGGCGGGGAGACAGAGCCCGGGCAGAAGGTCCCTCCCTACCCGGAAATTCGCAACCTGACGGGCATGAACCGAGGCCCAGAATCCAGTTCCTAAATGAGTCCCCTTTCCACGACCTCAGCCGGAAGCGGCTGCCGGGTGTGACCCAGAGCTGGGGCCGAGCGGGCAGCTGCCCACACCAGGGGCTGACGCGTCCCTGGAAGTAATGAAGGGCAGGAAGGTGACACTTCCCAGACGCCCCGTCCCGTCCCCCCAGGCCCGCTTCAGAGGAGGACTGGGTTAGAAGTGCCTGTAGCCCCAGCTCCGATGCTTTAGGGCTGGGCGAGCTTGGTCTGCTCATCTGTGCAATGGGGACGATAGCATTGCCTTCATGGGGGCGTCGTGGGGGCCGAGCGAGGACCATTTGTCAGCTGTGCTGTAAATAATACAGTGTGCAAATACAACTTCCAATGAGAAAAATGTTACACAGCACTTGAAGAGCACCCAGCGCTTGGCCGGGGCCACTTACGTGTTTGCTGTCTTTACCGTGAAGACGTCTGGGGACTGGTATTGCCCACGCAAGTGTGAGTTTGGGCTGGGGCTGAGTTACTGAGAATAGGGAAGAACCCTCTAGAATGGACCCCAAGGGGCTCTTCTCCTCCACCCCACTCCCTCCCGCACCCGCCGTGCTCGAAACGCACAAGGGCTGGCAGCCCAGGGCACGGGGCTCGCTCGTTCTACTCACACAGCCTGTCCAGTTCCCAGAACCACGCGGGGCTCAAGGCCGGAGCACAGTATGTCTTTGCGGGACGGAAGGATAAACTTGTCCCTGCCCTGGAGGGTCTGAGTGTCACGGAGGAATGCAGAAAACAGTCAGAGGAGCTCTGGAAATCCATTCAGAACACTTGAAACGTGGGCATTCTCACACCCTCCCAATGCACCCTCCAAGTCACGTGACTCCTGCTGTTTTTATGAGCCCGGCTCCCCTGTCTGGTGTCCTGGGAGTCTGCTTCTCCAGGCTCCTGGCTTATCTCTCCTGGAAAAGTGCAACAGACTCGCCCTCTGCCCCCCGCCCCCTGAAGCTAAAAGAGCGACTTCCTAAAAATCATTGATCAGGCTAGATCACTCCCTTCCTTGCCTAAACACGCTCCAAACCTTCCCTTTGTCTCCAGGTGAAACCCCACTCCCGGTGGCCAAGGAGCAGGGGCACACGTGCTCCACATCGCCGGTCATGGGCATCACAGCTTCACACCCCCACCCCCCGGGAGGGCGACGTTCAAACGCCACCGTCTCCCGGGGCGAGGGGCGGGTGCAGAGACCGGAGGCCTCATGCACGGCTGGCCGGGTGTGAGCCGGGCCAGCCGCTGCGGGAAGCAGTCTGGCAGCCACCCAGAAAGTTAAAACACCGAATTCCCACACGGCCCGGCAATTCCGCTCCGGAGCCTCAGTAAATCCCGATCCATTTTCTAGGGAGCATTGC